TGCCGTTCACTCCGCCAATTAAATATGGTGAGTGAGTGTATGGAAGACCAGGTAAACGCGTAGAACATTGGTATGCAACGCACTCACCCATCGAGTCCATCACTGAGGGTCAAAATTCTCTTCAGTACGACTAGCTAGACTCACTGTCGCTCGTCAAGTGGTCCATATCAAGCACCGGGATTAGTCACATGTCTGGTACGTATGACGGTTTGCAGTTACCCCACAGCCTGCGTGTTGCAACGACTAAGCTCCTTCATAGACACAGAAAGAACAAGAGAGGGTGGGTGGCGACACTGGATTTGAGTAATCTTTCTGCCAGCTGGGATGATTCATGATTAGAGAGCCCGCCGGTAGTACCGGTTCCAGCCTCGCAGTGAAATCAAGAAGTACCTGAACTTCTCACGAGAAGAGAGCCCAGCCCGGGCCTCTATGAGCCCAACGAAGGGTCAATCTGTGCACGGTTACAACCAATCTCATCCGCCCTGCAGAAAGATATTGTACTCTCGCCCCCCAGTCTCGCAAGGGATATGGCAGTTAAAGAACTTGGTATGAGGAAAGAGTGACTGTAGAGACTATAGAATGACTGTTGGGAATAGTGGATCTGAGGAGAGGACCATAGCCGCACTGCCATGCGAATGGAACTAATGCAGTTGATTCCCGAAACAACTTATTTTGAGCGTGATGTTAAGAGTAACTCTGTTTTGAAAGTTAGTGTCTTTATCAACGCGTAGCTCATCGCCCACGATCCTTGCACCGAGGGTGCCTTTTCATTAAGGATTTTGTATTATAATAATTTATTATACTTCAGTGCTTTTTGTTTCCAGCAAAACCTATTATAATGCAGAGAGAGAGTCAGGGAAGAAGGCTACTTCAAGACAGTTTCACAAAATCTAGTCTTCCACATGTCAACATGATCAGGGGTTCATTTAGGGGGGGGGGCAGAGGGGGGCGCTCGCCCCCCTTGATCAAATCTCGCTTGGAGTTAAAGTAAACCTTTAAATATGCAAAACAAGCCTGACTGGCGTGCAACTGCAGCAACTACAGTACCACACACTATAGTCACTATGCCACCTAAACCAGTAGGTATATACTATCGTAGATGGTTTACAGGAGCTTCTAAAGTAAGATCTAATGCCCATATCGACATAGACTTGCTTAACTAAAGCCGACTCACATAATATCATACTTCACAGCTAGGCAGCTGGCAACATTCACAAGACTTGTAAACTACATACTTTGATTGTGCAAGACTTACCTAGGCAGACAGCTGTGTAGTGTGCTATTGCCACACAGTAGTTAACCCTCGGCACTCATGTGCAGCGAGGGTTACGACAGTCGTTCTGTCTGTGTGTCTGTGTCTGTGTCGACGCTTATTCTGGTTCAAAAGGCTACGAGGTGGCCCATTAGCGATACCAGTGGCTTCATAACTACGTGAGCCCGAAAACTTATTAGGCGATTTTTCTTAAACGACTGTGTTCGAGAGATATGCAGTGAAAACAAGTGAAAAAGCCAATATGCATAATCGCCCCGCAGTTCGCAGAGGGTTTGCACTTTAGAAAGGTACAGAGAAAAAAGGGAGATTATGAACGGGGAGTATTTAGGCTTGCACAAATGAGCATAGGTCTAGTCGAAACATTGGTACATAATTTCTAGAAAACAGCTTTGCCCCACCCCCTTATTACCCTCGGCGCGTTGTTTGTCTGTTTGTCTGTCTGTCTGTTACTCTACATCTCACTCATCGAACGTCTGTTCATCCCAGAAACGATACCATCTACCCAACGGGCGACGAAGGTCAGAAAATAAATGCGGTTTTCTCTGAAAACGCTCCGTTGCAAAGCTACAGCGCGAAAAAGCCAATATGCAAATACACAACGGACGGGAAGGCTTACCATAGTCGGATGGATCCGCGTGCTCTGCGTACTTCGGAGGCACCAGAAGATGCAACGCAGGGCATGTATCGCCTCTCGCATGCTATCTAGTAGTGTAGTTAGCCCGCGTCAGACTCTGCGCGAGCTGGCAAGAGACCACGAGTAACACCTAAAACTAAACCAGCCCATGAATTAGTGGTACCTAACGTCACAGTGCACCGAGGGTTTGCACTTCAGTGCTTTTCATTTTTACACTGGAAAAATTTCCTGCGGGACCACACCCCCGACTTGCCGTATGCTTCAAACACACGGATACACTTTTGCCCCCCTTCATTTCACAATTACTCATTTGCCACCCCCCTTGGATAGATTTCTAATGAACCCCTGATGATGTACACACAGCTCATGCTGTGGTGGGTTTCAATATAGCCAGAGGTATACAATTGACTGGCTGTGTTGTGTTCTCTATTGTAGCCATACCTGCTGGGGGCTCTGCATACTCCATCAATGAGTCTGCTAGAGCTGTGTCTCCAATCAGTCCAGCCAGTATATCATCCTTCTCATTTTCATTGGATCTGTACTCTGTACATAGTACTCTACTGCACTGTCAACATCTCTCTTATCACGAGGGATGGAGATCAGATGCAGAGGTACTGAGGTTACTGGTGTTCTCAAAGACCTTCCTGAGTGCGGCTTTACTTGGAGGGAGTGCTGCGAGGAAAGACAATGACATCATCACTAACTAACACAACTTCATCGAACATTTACAAGATCTTTTCGATACGGCTAGTGATGACGTCATACAAAACTAAAATTACGTCATCTCTCTCAACCTATCAGACAATACCATCATCATCATTCACTGGGCAGTCATAACCTAACAGTTATCATTTTATTTCCTCTGTGTGGGGTGCGCGGCTCGCGGCGACTGTCTTACGTTTCTTCCACGTCCAGACTTGGTCCCCTCCTCCAGTAGCCATCTCTGAGTCACGTGAGCTGCTTCTGGCCGGCTGTACTACTGTGTCGTCAGTGGTCGACCTCGTCGATCGAAAGCGGGCCTTGAAAACTGTCGGAAACGCTGGGCGAAGAACAAAACCCAGACGAGAATGAGCACAGGGCGTGGCTGCTAGAATCACGTGATTTGTAAACAATGTGCGCACGCGCAATAAAAAATTTTAGACAATAGGAAGTCATGAAGATGAGGAGGAGGAGGAGGGGAGAGAGTTTTGGTCAGTCTCAGTTGTGGGACTACTGGCTTTGCTCATACCGTCCAGTACCTTGTTCACAGCGGGAGAGGAAGAGGAGAGGAGAGAGAGGAGAGAGAGAGAGTGAGAGGAGGAGAGAGAGAGAGAGGAGAGCAAGAGAGGGGGGGGGGGAGGGGGGTGGGGGGGGGGAGAAATGGAGGGAGGAAAAGAGGAGAGACACACAAAAATTGTCTCTTTACTGTTATATTTTTAACACAGGTATGGGAGAGCCATCAAACCCTACTATTGGTGAACCAACCGTGAAAGAGGACGTTTCCAGTGACAAAGTCATTATCGACGAGGTTGACGAGGTAGTAGGTGTTCTGGATGTGAGAGATGATGTGGTGGGAGGTGGACTCGGGGCTGTAGAGACTGGCCCAGTGGGTCCCCCACAACATGAAGGCCTCGTCCTAAAGAGGGAGACACCATCAGTAACATCTTGTAATGGTAAAAAGAAAGGCTCGATGTCTCAAGAAGTCGCAGAAAAAGCAGATTGCAAAATTCCGTAGAAGACGGGAGAACGTAAAACAGAGGAACAGCAGGAAATTCACAGAAATAATGAGAAAGAGAAATGTTTGGAACAACAACAGCAAAATGAGAACGATAAAGAAGTGATTTGTGGCTATACCTTCCAATATGGAAGCTGACAGGGTCGACGACCGTGGGTTGTATGATCTCCATGCCAGGGAAAACCCCCCAGGTGACCGCTATGGCTGGTAGGAGTCGCAGTTTGTCATGTTTTCCGTTCCCTGGGAAGGAGAAGAGGGTGGAGGGATTGAACAGCTATATATACTGCAGTGGCTATAGTCACAACTCTGGTTTCGTGCTAAAAAACATTTCGCTAACAATGTTGACAATATTATGGTAGTTGACTTGAGGATTGTCCTACCTCAGTTTACTCCGGGCACCCCCCCCGTCATCCTACACCGTTTTCCCCACCCCGGGGTCTGTGGTACCCCAACCCTACCCCGACCTCCCCTCGTCCTCCCACATGGATGTCCCCTCGTTCCCCTTAGTCTTTAGTTGTGTGGTATATATACCTGTCCTGTTGACATGTGGTCGTTGACTGTAGGATAGTCCCCAGGACGTCATTAGCGCTCTCATGAACGCGACTACAGAAGAACTCCAGATATGCCTGTAAGTAGAGAAAAAGAGGGAGGGGGAGAGAAGGGTTATTTTGTGGCATTGAAGAGGAGTCTTGCATGTCAAGACATTATTAATCCTTGGGAGAGTTTCCTCCACATTCAAATGGACAACAAGCAGAGAATGATATAATTATACACTTGTTGCTAAACGATCAACATGTAAATCAGGGGAGAGGGGTCCTTGATTGTGGGGTTCAGATTGCGGGGGTCTTAATTTCAGGGGTCCTAATTGCAGGGTTCAGGTCTGATTCAAATCCAGGTGGCCAACCAATCAGAGGTTTACATGTACATACCACTACTCTATACAACACACACACTACATCAGAAGCTGGAGAAGTGAATTTGTACATACACATATACTTCACCAAACAACAGATCGACCAAGGTTAGCCCAATTTTCAACAGTCACTCCTAAAACTATTTTCCACTGCACTCTCCAGCTATAGTCAAGGTATTCAGGATGGTTGGTTGGTCTGTCCTTCCCCCCACTTGCTTGTTAAAAGTACAAACAATTTAGGCCACCCTATATTTTCACTGCACTCTCCAGCTATAGTCAAGGTATTCAGAATGGTTAGTTGGTCTGTCCTTCCCCCCACTTGCTTGTTAAAAGTACAAACAATTTAGGCCACCCTATATTTCACTGCACTCTCCAGCTATAGTCTATATATTATATCAATACCTGTGTATGTAGCTCTTGGGTCTCTGGGCCCAGAAGATTGGTCTGACGTCTTCGGCACACCTCTTGTGACTGGCTGGAGCTTTCCATGGCAACGTCTTCAGTGACAGCGGGTCATCACACCACATACCTTGGAGGGGAGGAGGATTGGTTGGAGATAGATAGAGATATAAGAGGAGCACGATAGGGGGAAAGACGAGAGTTGTGAGTGAGAGAGGAAAGGTTTGAGCAAGATAGCGGAAAAGATGAAAGAGGATAGAAAGGAGAGTGAAAACTACTATAGTGGAAGAAATGTGAACATACCTAGTTCAGTAAGGATTGAAATAGTGGCGACCTCTCGATTCAGAGTATAGAAATGTAGACCATTCACCTGTACATAAGGAGAGACAGAGAGAGAGGTAAAATAAGTGAAGAAATAGAGAAAATAACATCTCACCAGTCCAGAGTTGAGTAGCTCTTTGCACATGTTGACGGCAAAACTGATGCCAAACTTTTGGATCGCGGCGTCGTCGTCTTTGATGGGTAAGATGGCGTCCATGATGTTTCGAGGAACCTCCAGTTTCGATAGCTTTGTCAGATTGTGCAGACTCCTGTAGCCCTATTGTGTGTATATAGAGTACAGCGGAACCTCTGATAAGGGACCCTCCGAGATAGGGACAACCTCTCTACAAGGGACACTTGTTTCAATCCCATGCTAATACTTTAGTGTATTATTTGACCTCCGAGATAGGGACGACCTCTCTACAAGGGACACTTGTTTCAATCCCATGCTAATACTTTAGTGTATTATTTGACCTCCGAGATAGGGACGACCTCTCTACAAGGGACACTTGTTTCAATCCCATGCTAATACTTTAGTGTATTATTTGACCTCCGAGATAGGGACGACCTCTCTACAAGGGACACTTGTTTCAATCCCATGCTAATACTTTAGTGTATTATTTGACCTCCGAGATAGGGACGACCTCTCTACAAGGGACACTTGTTTCAATCCCATGCTAATACTTTAGTGTATTATTTGACCTCCGAGATAGGGACGACCTCTCTACAAGGGACAAGATTGTTGGCCCCTATGTCCCTTGTTTCGGAGGCCACTGTACAAATCACAGCTGAGAGACCATTGCAAGGATACCACATTTTTTCCCCTTTTCGTGCACACACAATGGTCTTGAAATTCGAGAACAGGTGATTTAACTGGACGTATACGCAGTGACAGGTACATACATACATGCATGTGGCAAAATTTTCAAAGGGAACAGATATTTAACTGAATTTGAAGAGAAATTTTGATGTCAGTTTACGAGGGCACTACATACAAAGTTTTCGGGTAAGTATGCACGCAAATAATGTTGCGGATAGACTAATTGACAACTAATTCGATATACCTGAATGGGCAGTATCTCCTGGCATGATGGGAACAGTAATCCCAATCCTCCTGCAGTCATGGTAGAACTTGATGAAAGTTGAGGCCTCGAAGAACAGCTGCGTGATGATGAAATCTGCGCCTGCGTCCACCTTCTCCTTCAGATGTTGAAT